TAAAAAAGGATGGATGGTAAATAGGTTTTACACAAGGGAATCGATACTACAACACTAGGGAAGGTAGCAGAGCTTGTACAGTAGACAAAAGATAGCTTTTCTAAGGAAACTATTGCTAAAAAGACTGAATCTGGGTTGATTTCAGCTTTCTGGATGCAAATCTGGTTTGAGAGAAGAGTTTGTATGTTTGTTTGCTTGATTGATTTAGTGTCCTTGCCTCAAATGCTTGATTCCCCTTTTATAGGCAATCTGGCTCGATTGCTTTTAGCTTTGCTCTTTCCCGAAAGCTTTTGAAGGGTAGTGAGTCATCAACTTTTTACTTGTCGTGCCACTAGAAAATGCTTCTTGGTTGGTAGTGCGTTGGTCTCCGTCACTTGTACTTTAAACATAGGCACATGGCTTATGCCTTGGCCGAGAAGGCTTTAACTTGTTCCAGGCTTCGTAGATGGGCTTCGGGAAAATTCATCTTGTTTTGGCGTCTTTGGGCCTCCCTTCAGTTAAGCCCAATATTGAAATATTAACCCAAATAGTGCCCCATTTAATCATTATTAAGTTTGTAATCCAAGACATTAATAATAATTAAACAGCCGCCACATGCTTTACCTCGAGACTTGCACTATTTAACCAGCCGTTTTCGAATAAACGTTTGCACTAACCCACGATTTCCAACATTAACTAACATTTTACTATATAATCCCCAGTTAATTCTTTCAGCCAAATACCTTAGCAATTCTTATTCTTTGAGTTTCCAGAATTTCCAGGACTCACTTGCCTTTGCAGCTTTCCTTTGCCTTCCACCCTCGATATTCTTTCACTCTCCCTAAAAAAAAAAAAAACTAATGGCACCCAAAACTGTTTGTCCTGCATGTGAGTCCGATGAGGGTATTGTCACTATACACCGCCTACTCAATAGCCTTCATCGCCCTTGGGCAGGCCTGAACACCTCAATTTTCTTCGAAAAGGGAGGGGTACACTCCCTTGGGCCTACTTGGACCTCTAGGGTCCCAATTGTTGTGGAAAACAACATGCCTAAGGCCAATTGGTTCACCCCCAATCGATATTCTGCCGAGGCTAGCATCTCCTCCTCCAAGTGGTTAACTCATCGCCGAAGCTTCCCATTGATGAAGGATGAGGCCTGGTCACAGCGGGTGGATGCGTTGGAACCCATCGGGAAGAAGAAGTGGATGAGCAATGGTATCAATGAGCTCATTATTCTCTTTAAGATCATGGTGATAGCCAAGCCCAAGCTCCTAACCACAACTGTTTTATTTTGGAACAATGGGACCAACACATTTGATTTTAAGATGGGTCACATGTCTCCAACCATCATTGATATAGCCCAAGCCTTTGGGCTAAGACCTTCGGGCCGGTACGTAGATGTGACCCATGATTGGTCTTCTCCCTCTTACCCGACTGCTAAAGGCTCGGGTGATGCTGACTTCATTATTCGTTTGGAGTACACTCATTTGACCTTTAAGAGCTATGAGACTTCATTCACAGGCTTTATCCCATTTGCTAAGAGTACCTTAAGCTCGCCTTTTGCTATTGCCAATAGAGATCAGGAGCATATGTACTTTCTTTTGTACTGGCTCAACAAGCATGTCTTCCCCAACAAATCCAAATGAGTGAAGCTAGAATGGATCTCACTGGTGGAGGCACTGCATTCCTTTGACGATATGGCCACGGGGCACTTCTTTCTTACCTACCTCCACCATTTTTTGTACGAGATGACCAAGGGTGAGCCTTTTGAGACTAACCTCAATGAACCAACCTGGATGGTCCAATTCTAGCTCTAGTGGTATTTCCTTGAGCTTCAGGCACCAAACTTGGTGTTCCCCGAAGGAGTGACCCCAACCCAAATCTTGGCCAAGCATCCCCCACTAATCATTCAACATTACCCTACCTCTATTTCTTCAGAGTTTGCCGGACTCAGGTAGACTTAGAATGAGGTGCTTCTGTTATGCGAAGATATCCATGGTTCTCGGACCAAAAAAAATCAAAATGGAATGTGCTGCAGAAACGACAAAAATTATGTGGTACATACCTGAGAATAAATAATTCACCAATAACACATTTTTTCAGCCAATTCTCATGAAAATTTACATATTTAAAATAAACATATCAATGTATATCATACTAAAATTGCATGAATTTAGGTGTTGCGTAGGTATATCAAAATAATAGCACAAACAGATTATGCTGCAAAATTCCAGCAACATAGTATCACATTTAAAAATTTACCATAAACCCATTTCTTGTCCAAAAAGGGATAAATTCTCTGTAAACATTCCATTATATAATATAACATGGCAAATTTTCACAAACTTTGGAGTTAGGAAAATCTATCAAAATCAAATAGGACATGTTGCAAGGTATGCAAAACTCCATCAGTTTTCCCAACTCTACCAAAATTTCAGATTTATTCATAATTTAAATAAACCCAATTTACAATCTTTAATATGCTCAAAACACTAAAATTTCTTAAATAAATTAAAGATTCATTTCATTGGATAAATAACCTTTAATATGTGTGGATGCAAATTTTCGTTATCTTTTCCTTTGACGAAAATGCGCCTGCAAAATCATAACACCTAAGATTAAGGCCAAAAACCTCACGCGCCCATGATAAATTGGGGGAGGGGGAGGGGGGCTTTGGCCGAAGAATCTTCGATGCCAAAGTTAGAATTCTGAAAAGAATGTGTTTAAAAGTTTGCGTGTAGCAAAAGCCCCCTGAATTTTGGAGATAAAGCGGGTATTTATAGGAGAAAAAGAGGAAGTGGGCTGGGAAATTTGGAAAAGTAACCATATTTTAGACCCCATATAGAATTATAGCCACCATTTTAGTTTTATGATAATTCTAACCAAAACTTGATGTAAAAGTACTAATATACCCTTAATGACAAAAAAAATCCTCATTGCTCTTAACCATGAAAAAACAACAATTAGTTGAGATCTAGTACCCAATACCCCTACTCTCGAACCCCTCTGTTTCCCACTCTTTTTTTTTTTTTTATCAACATATATATATAGATATTCAAATGTAATCAGAGAATGTGAAAATTGAAGATCACCCAGTTAACTAAACATAAAAATTAATCAGGAACTGAATCCCTAAAGCAAAATTTGAATCTAAAAATAGAGGAGCAAAAACCCTTTTTAGCTAAAACTGTGTGAGGTTTTTTGCTAAACTGGTGATTGAAAATATAAAGGCCAATAATGTGATAAATCCTGAATAATATAAAAGCCAATAATGTAATAAATCACAAAGAAAAACATTCACATCATGGGCTGAAATGGAGTCTAATTGGATTCTTGCAAGTTTGGTGATTGTGGCCTATCCCACCACAATGACTGTTGGGATTCTGTTTGTCTTGCATCTTCCAGATACAACTTGTCTGATTGGAGGTAACACAACTCTATTCTGCACCTTTTCTGGCACACTCCATTCACACTTGTTTCCAATTGGCCAAATGGGCTCCGCATACGCAACCACAATTGCATTGGCTGTGTAGAATTTGGAGCATATAGTGTACACTAATGTGTTGCGAACAAGTTTCTAAAAAATGCTAGGCATTAGTCGGCTTGCGGGCTGGCGCCTAGCGCCTAGGTGGCGGGGCGGGGTCTAGGCGGGCGCCTAGGCGGCCTAGGCAAATTTAGGTAAATTTCTTGTATATCTTGTAAATAAGTGCATATTGACACTTACCAAAAAATTATACTTATATGAAATACATGGATAAGATAATAAAAAAAATGATAAAATGCAAAAAGAGTATCCAACAAGTCCAAAATTTAAAAACACATTAAGCATATATGCCATATAACCATAGTGAGGAATATTGTAGGATGACACATGTACAACAAGTTCACAATTTTAAACCACTTAGACTTAGATAGGATTTTTTATTTTATTTTTTAATTTCATTAAAAAAAATTAGAAGGAAAAAAAAAAAAAAAAAAAAAAACCCGCCTAGCCCACCTAGGCCGTCTAGAGCCCATCTAATTTTTTTCCAACCAATTTGCAAGAAAATGCCTTGGCTCACCACCGCCCAGCGCCTAGGCACCGCCTAGGCCGTTTTTTAGAACATTGGTTGCAAATTCTACATGCAGCAGTTGCATGGACACATAGAAGTTGGTCGTGATCAAACCTTCTACACATGCATGACTTGGCATTTAGATCACAATATATGTCTACCTCATGTACTTGCAATGCATAGTGATTAATGGAAGATACCTGCATAGTTGTCAACCATGTGAAACAAAAAAAAAAATTAAAAATGTACACAATACCTTGAAGAAACACCAATGGGAGAACTTAGGGACTTAAAACTTATTAGTATACTTCAAATTATGTGCAAATTGCAAATATTCTAATTTGACAAGTGACAACCAACAACAAGAGACCATTTAATCATAATTATCATATACTTTTATCAACATGTTTATTTTTTTGAAACATTTTAACTATGTTTTTGGTTAACAAAATATGTGCACTAACCACATTGATTTGGCCGTCATCCAGCTCACTTAACCATGAAATATTACATGTTTCCTTGCCACAACTGATTAAATAAAGAGTTAAGAGATGCTTTTAGCTTTTAGATTTTAGCTCGTATCTTTTGGCTTTTAGATTTCTATTTAAAACATTAGGTGATTATCGTGATCTTGATAAGAACAAAATGTTGGTCTTATTCGAAAAATTTGGAGAACAAGTTTGGGAAGTTTTTCTTCGGCAGAGGCCTCAACCTTTGACTATGAAGAAGCACTTTTGGGAAGAAAAAAAATAAAAAATAAAAAATAAAAAACAAAGCTACTATTCTACCTAAATGATTAAATCTTTGTCAACACTGCAAGTATAGAGGGGTGTTGGTTCTTTATTTTTTTTTTTTTCTTTGTCTGTTCTTGGTATGGACTCTATTTGGATTTAGGTGTCCAGTGTGCATTAGGAATGTGAGAGTGCATAAAAATGTAAACAAATCATACATACCGACATACACAAGCCTCTATTTTGATTCTTGTGCAATTTTCCTTCTGCCCACTTTGTCAAGGTCAAATTCCATGAACTTGTTGTGTTCCGATGTTCGTTGAACCACCCTTGGAGTGTACCTGTAAGGTGATCCGCTATAGCAGTGATAGGCAACTTTCGAGCATCCTTCAGTTTTGCATTCATGGATTCGGCAATGTTGGTTGTCGTTGTATCGTTTTCCACTTAAATGTGCCCGAGCCCATCTATGATACCCAATTTCTGGAAGATATTTTCCTACTTTTCCATCTTTGATTGCCCAAATATCACTCATAACACTATTAAACTCTGACACAAGGTATGTTTTTGCCACAATGTAATATAACTTAAACATCGTTTCATCATCACCAAATTTATTCCCCATGTTGCCAGCTACATGATACATACAAGCTCCATGATATGCCTCTGGAAACACAGTTTGCACAACTTTACCAATGCTTCCATGTTGATCAGATACAAACACCAAGTATGTTACCTCTGCAAGGGCATTTCTCAATTTTGTAAGAAACCATGTCCATGAAGCGTCATTTTCTGAGTCACCCACACCAAATGCCGAAGGATATATTTGATTTTGTCCATCATGGAATACAGTGACAAATAAGGTGCCAAGATATTTACCCTTTAGAAAAGTCTCATCAACTGCTACCACAGGCCTTATAGAACCACAAAATCCCTTTACAGAGGCTCCCATTGACATGAAAAAGTATAAAAAGTGATTATTGTCATCTGTTTCTATATGTGTTACTGTCCTAGGATTTTTACTTTCTAACATGGCACAATAGGTAGGAAGTGCGGCAAAAGATTCCTTTAGCGATTCTTGGATTATGTCAAATGCATGCTCTCTTGCTCTCCAAGCTTTCTCGTAGCTCATATTAACCTCAACTTGTGCTCGCATATCCTTAATGATGTCTTTAGGTCTATATACATGTGATGCCTTCTCATACTTTGACTTTATAAATTGGCCAACAATAGAACTACTTGCTTGCCGATGATCACGCTAAACAACATCTAATGAACAACAATGATTAGCTTTAACTTTTCTTACTTCAAAAAATTCTGACACTTGTAACTTGGTTGCATGAAGTCGCCACTTGCAATTATCATCCACACATCTAATTTCCAAACGATCCTCAGTTGATCTTTCCACTTTAAACTCATAATTCTTCCTCATTACAATCATAGCTAATTGTTTTTGCAACTCTTTCTTACTCGAGTACAATTGTCCGACCATAATATCTCCATCTATATTCAAATCTGCAATATTATCATAGTCTTGTATGCTCTTACATTTGTTATGACGAGACGACAATAGATTGAAATTGGCATCGTTAGACTGCACATTATCAAAATAGGTACTGTTATGATAGTCATCAGTAAACTCAAAACTCACATCTATTGAAGTCTCACTAATCTGGGCATTGTCATGAAGAACTTGACTTGGTTGTTCATCACCCAAAATGTCATCATTCTCTTGAATTACCACTGTTGGTGATGGGGAACTACATGCAATTGGCTATTCATCTTTAGGTTCATTTAGAGGATATGTTGTAACATATAACGGAATCTTGTTTGGTTTTGCAGAAATACTTTCACATACCCAACTACTCACATTGTCATTGTCTACAATCTCCATCATATCTTGCATCCTTAAGTTGCTCATGCATTGATAATGTACTAAGATTCTAAATTCACTCGGACTAAAACAAAGACGTTTATATATACCATGTATAAGATCTTGATGAGTAACTTTCATTGACACTACCATTGCTTTCGCTTGACCATCTGTGCATTGGCTATCAACCCTCCTCCATCCGTAATGGACCACAGTCACAAATTGAGTCATATTCTGAAGGAAAAAAAAAAATTTATTAGCACATCTAACTAACCTGCAAATATATTAAAATTAGAAAAAAGTTTTAGAGAAAAATTGATTAGCACATATAACTAACCTGCTAGGGTTTTGGGTTTTGGGTTTCGATGGTGAAATGGACACCTCCTTGATATACGGCGGCAATGCCAAATCCTTAAGAAACCACGCCAAGCAAAAGCTCCCCCTCGATTCCAAAACCCACTTACAGGTCCTCTCTTCTCCTGATTTTCTTCAATTTTTAATCTCTCCCTGTTTCTCTTTTTCTTTTTTGTCAAAATCTCTCCCTGTTTTTCATTCTTGGTTGATTGTTGTTGATTGCCATGAAGGTTTTGTTTTTGTTGTGAGAAACCCTAATATTAAGGGTATATTAGTACTTTTACATTAAGTTCTGGTTAAAATTAACATAAAATTAAAATGATGGCTATAATTCTATATGGGGTCTAAAATATGGTTACTTTTCCAAATTCCCCAAGTGGGTTGGCCCTTTAGGGTTTAGGGTGGCCGGTCCTAGGTATTTTTGGTGGGAAATGTTCTAAGATATTTGTGTAAATAAATATCTTGGAGTAATTAGGTAAATATTCTAAATAAATGGAATTAGGATTACTGACTTGAAAGATGTCTTCTCTGATTATGAATGTATTTATGATAAGAATAAGAAATTATAAATACCTTTGACTTTTCCTAAGGTCATGGGTGCCTTAATTAGTCGTTGATCTTTGGCTGCTCTAGACGTAGACATGTGCCACTTGATGCCATATTTATGGAAAAACTTCACCAAGTCTTTGCCCAAAAATTACAGGCCGTTGTCGATAACGACAGATTGTTGATGCCAAATCAGCAAATGATGTTCCTCCATATGAAGCGCTCTATGTCTGATTGAGTAATGGTGGTCATGGGCTCGACTTCTACCCATTTAGTGAAGTAGTCGATAGCCACAATCATCATGCCCTTACCTTTAGTAGTGGGCGGCATGTGCCCTACTAGGTTGATTGCCCACTGCATGAATGGCCATGGGCTTGTATGTGGGTGGAGCTCGTTGGCAGACAATGCGAGTACATGCTTGAAGCATTGGCAGCTGTCGCACTTTTGAACAAATTTCTTAGTGTCTTGATGCACGATGGGCCAGTAGTAGCCGACGTTGAAGACAATTTGTGCTAAAGATCGGCCTCCTAAGTGGTTTCCACAAACTCCTTCGTGGATTGAGCTCAAAACTTTCAAGTCGTCGGGAGGCGATAGGCAGCGAAGATGTGGGCCCCAAAAAGAATCTTCGGACAAGAATGTCATTCAACATGTAGTAATGTGTCGTCTTTATTTGGAGCTTCCTAGCTTCCAATCTTTATGCATGAAGTGTCCCGTTGACTAGGTTACCGATGGTGGGATCTTGCCAGCTTAAGGATGTATTAACTTGTAACATCTCGGCTGCTAGTTCTTCTTCTATGATCAACTTTCCCAAATACTCGATCAGGATAGAGTGTCTGAACTGGTAGTCCAAGGCGGAGCCTAAGGCTACCAGGTCATCTGCCTGAGCGTTGTTTGCCAGTGGCACCTCTGTGAAGGTAATGTCATCCTTGGATGCTTTGCTGCATACTCCCCAAAAGTTTGGCTAGTGATGAGCTGAGAATTGGAATGCATTGCGAGCTTCTTAACTACCAAATCTTGTGCCATTCAGAGGTCTGCCAACAATGTCTCGTACTCTGCTTCGTTGTTTAATGCCTTAAAGCCTAGAGTGATTGCGTGCTCGAGCATCGAGCCATCTTGGGTGATGAAAACCAAGCCTACTCCAGAACCCTTGTAGTTGGATGAACTGTCGACGTGCAAATGCCAAAAGTTCTTGTCGGGAAGGGTTAATGCAGCCAAGCTATGCTTGGCTGCTTTAGAGGCACTTTTGGGCTGTGCTTTTTAGTCTTCCAAGCTGGGATTGAACTCTGTTTTGAAGTCTGCCAAGGCTTAAGTTTTTATCGTTGTACGAGGTCGGTAAACAAAGCCGTATTGACCAAGTTCCAATGCCTACTTCATTACTCATTGATAAGCATCTAGACCATGTAGGATAGATTGCAGAGGATACTGAGTCATGACAATGACCGTATAAGCCTAAAAGTATGGTCTCAGCTTCCAAGCTGCAACAATTAGCACCAAAATTAGCTTTTCAATCCTCAGGTATCTTGTTTCTGCATCGAATAGAGCTTTAGAAGTGTATAGTACTAGCAGTTGGGCCCCCAGCTCTTCTTGTATGAGGGCATAGCTTACTGCTACATCTGAGACTGCTAAGTAGATGTATAATTCCTCGACTGCTTCCAACTTGGATAGTAACGGAAAGAATGTCAAATATCTCTTTTGAAATGTTTTCTCGCACTCGTCGTCCCACTTGTCTCTTTGTGCCTTCTTGATGGCCTAGGAAAAAAGGCTTGCATCGATCGGTTGAGCGTGAGAGGAAACGATTGAGCACGACTGGGCTCAGTCGTGATTCGATTCTAACTATCTTCTTTGGTTGCTCAGGATAATGAATGATGTATTCGGCATCCTCTTCTCGCTTCCATAATTTTTCCTCAGTTGGTATATCCTTCTGAATGTCATCATCTTGATCTGCTTGTTGTGGTTGCTATTTAGTAGCCGGCTTGTTCTTCTAAATCTCAGTAACTTCTGCAGGGGTGAAGGACTTCTTCTTTGACTCTTTCAGCATTTTGCACCGTGCATCGTCAGGACGCGGCCTAGTCAGACTTAATCTCTACGACTCCTCCTCCCGAGATGCGAAATCGGATTTTCTAGTACTTGACAGAGGTTACTGTGCCCAATTTCACTAGCTAAGGTCTTTTTATAATCTTGTTATAGGGAGGCAAGTCGCTAACTATAATGAACGTCTGCTTTGAGACTACTAATGGTGTTCTCACATCGAGTGTTATGTTGCTAAAAGCAGTTGAGGTGTATCCGTTAAATCCGGTGAGTACTTCTACTCAACGTATTATCATGCTTTCCAGGACCACCTTTTGAATGACGGATAATTGAAGTAGATTTATTGTGCATCATTGTCCACTATCACTTTGTCGACTATAGCGTGCACTAGTTAAACGGACACTACTAGAGCATCGTCGTGTGGGAAGTCAACTCTCTTAGCATCCTACTCGGTGAAAACAATGATGGATCCAGGTTTGGTATCAGCCGCCTGAAATTAGGAGATTACTATAGCCTGCTGGATCTTCATTTTCTTGGAGTTGTCTGTGGCCCCCAAGTATTCGGACTAGACAAAGATGCCATTTATTCTAATGGTCTTAGCAGACAGCTGTTTGTCTGTGTCTACATTCTTCCTAGGCTATACAGCTGGCTTTTCCAGGTATCTATCACATTTACCCTCATTCACCAGTTTCTCTAGGTAGTCCTTCCAGGTCTAACAGTTATCGGTTATGTGACTAGGACCTCGATGGAACGCACAATACTTGGTGTGATGTAGCTTGGAGATATCTCATTTGGGATGTCTTGGCAGCTTAAACCAAGGCTCATTCTTAATGTTGCAGAGGATTTGGTTGATCGGGATCGAGAACTTGGTATAGTTCTTAGTAGTCTGACCTCTTCTTATCAAGGACAGATCTCTGCGCTTGGCCCCCCACCTGCTTCGGTCGTTTGACTGCTTCTTGTTCACCTTCTTCTGAGTTGTCTCAGACTCCTTTTGAAGCTGCTCAGGTGCCTTATTCATTCATCGGGCCTCATCTCAAAGCGTATGCTTCTCTACTAGAGCAAATGAATCTACCAGAGTTAAGAACAGACATACTGATACAAATCAAGAACAGATTAAATCCCGAAGGATCAAACCTGCTCTGATGCCAAGTTGAATATCAGAGGGTGCGACAACCAAGACTACAAAATAATAAGAATATTATTAAACAAACGAGAATGTCTAAACGGCTACAAAATCCCAAGAGACTACATCGTGACTAACTTATCTTCATACTAAAGTATAAACTATATTTATAAAGAGAAAAACCTAGAAACCCTAATTCAGATGGGCTAAGCCAATATACTAAACTAACAAGCAAACCCAAATAATCATAAAATACTAATATTTTCCAACACTAGGTTGTTGTCATACTCGCTAAATTCCGGGCACAACATACGTGCATCATAACTAGTGAAAATTCCCGTTTCTCATATTAAGATGTAACCATGCACACCATATGCATACCACATGCACATTACGGAAAAAAATTTCACAAATTTCTGCAATTGGACCCTTAGACAAATTTCACAAAATTGTTCCATCCTAATTTTGTAGCACGTCAAAAATTGAAATTTATTCCGCAACCCATAGACCCCAACATGAAACACAAACCCTAATTTAACTTATAAGTATTAATTCATCTTACAAACAACTCATTTATTCCATAAATTATTGATGAAGGAACTTGGAACTAAACACCCTACCTTACTATGCCTGTCGAAGTTTCAGTCGTTGAAACAAATGGAACTTTCTGTCCAAAACAGAAAATATGGTACAAAACCCAGCTCACCCTTCTCACCTTCCTCTCGCATCCCTTTGTTCGAAATTAGAGGTATGAGGTCAACCCAAAACCGAGCTCACTCTTGTCACCTCTCTTTGGACTTCCCTATCTTCAAAATCAAAGCTCTCTGAGCTGAACCCAGAAACCCAAAGCTCACAAAGCTCTCTTGACATCCCTCTCTTCCAAATGAGAAAAGTGATGCAAAGGGCTGATGATTTTTAGTATTTATATGTTGGTATTTATATCTTGACACCCCTTTTAAGTATTCATAAAAATGATTTCTCTTAGGTAGATCTAGCATTAATGTCGTGTTTTCCATATTCGTATCGTTTCATGTCATCATCGATATCTTAACAAGTCGTGTCGTGTGACACCTGTTAAAATGAACGGATAATATGACATGACCCGAATTCAACTCGTTATTATTAACGGGTAATATGACCTAACCGGTTACCCGTTAAAGAAAATATATTTTAAACCAATAAATTATCAAATGAAAAAATAGAGTTCTAAATTAGTATATATATACCACAATGTCACATAAGTATTACTTTAAAACATAAAAAACACATTTGTCTTCCAAGAAGAGCTCAACTTCGAATTTTGCCACTATGATCACATAAATTATAGATCAAAATTTAACTGTTGATTGTCGTTTACATTTACACTCCATTCTTTTCATGAAATTTTATTTTTTTCAGATTTTTTTTTTTTTTAAACATGATCTTTTAGAGGATGCAAGAAATGAACGGTTCGGATATTACATTCAAAGTTTTACCGTTAGTGAAAATATTTCTTGGATTTATAAAGTCTCTAGAAACTATATGACTCATAAATCAGTTAACCGTAAATATCGGAACGTGATATCAACGATCTGAACTGTTCATTTTTCTATATCTATTAAAACATCATGTTAATATGGAAAAAAGAAATTCGGTGTGAAGAATAAAGCGTAAATGACAATCAACGGTAAGAGCAAGTCGAAGAAAGCGTATAATCGATTTCATTTTTTTTATTATTGTTGAGACTGTTTGAACAAAGCAAAAGCAAATCGAAGAACAGAAGAGCAAGTCCACCACTAAGGGGTAGGCCAGCTCAAAGCACATAAAATGGCCCGGCACCCCCCAAAACTCCTCCAGCCCAGCCTAATAAGCTGGTACCCAGCCCAAGCTGTCTACTAGGCCGACCCAGCATGTGCTAAGCCAAGGCCTGACCTATGTGACATCACACTGGCGTCAGCAAGATGTCACAAGCCATTTGCATTTTTTTTTTCGCCCTTTGCAGCGGCATCTGCAATGGCTTTCCAAGCGTGGGAAATGTTCCTCTCCTTATCTGGCGTCATCGACAGTTGGCACAGCACAATCTTAAACTACACAAAAAGCCCAATTCTAATTCAACCTCAAAACTCTAAAAATTCAACACACAATCGCCAAATACACACAAAGATTAAAGATGCAGCTTGCCTTGGTGATGGGAGAAGTGGGCAGGGGAAAGGCAAGCGAGACCCTGGCTTCTTCGTGCTTGTAAGTCAACGCCATCACTGACGAGAAATTTGCAGAGCGGGTCTGGGACTTGCAGCTGAGACCGATGCGGATGTTGGTGGTGATGGCTTTGGACGATGCGATTGGAGAGAGGAAAGCCGGCAGTGGAGAGAAAGGCTTTGGATGGAGGCAGATGGAGCAGCAGAGAGAGGAGGACTAAGGAGTGAGATTCTTGGAGCTAATTAGTGTCGATAGTGTTGCTTTCATTTTCTCTCGAAGGCTCCAAATTTCTACGTGGACTCTTATTTTTTGGTTTTTGGGATGTGGTCGTTAAAATTGATTAAAATTCTTATCCAATTTTTATTATTTTATAGAATAAAAAAATTAAATAATATTTTAAATGAGCTGGATGCCAGCATATTTTGTAGGGATGGAGATCGTTTGTGCCAGCGCATTTTTTAGACTTTGTGCCAGCTCATTTTTTAGGGGTGGAGATGCATTTGACCAATTACTATTCATTAAGGTCTATCACTGTTCACTAAATAGATTAAATATGCTAAGTACCATCGTATTTTTTTAGGGGTGAAGTTGCTTTAAATAATAAGAGTGCGTAGGGAAATTATTTCACTTCCACTATATGTTGATTTGAGGTTGAGTCCATTAGTTTAGCACGCCCAACCAATGCGTGCAAATCCAAACTTATAACCCCATTACCCGAATAAAGTCCCCAAACTGCCCATCGAGAACTTAGGTTGCACGGACACTCAAAAATTCTATGGTGTCGGACATTCTGACACGCGGACATGCCTTGGACACAACTTGGACACGGTCAACGCTTTGAACACGATCAAGGCACTGTTCGGACATGCCTCTGCCAACTATTCTAGTCGCCGATTCGTCGTGTGCCTCTGAAACTGGTTAGCGGTGCAAAGCAGCAGAGGCATAAGCCTCATTGGAACTGTGGAAGACAATCTAAATTTTCAAGGGAATTTGGAAAAATAACCAAATTTTGAACCCCATATAGAATTATAGTCACCCTTTTAATTTTATGATAATTATAACCAAAATTTAATGTAAAAGTACTAATATACTCTTAATGTCATGTTATGCAAATTTGGGACTCCATATAGAATTATAGTCACCGTTTTAATTTTATGATAATTATAACCAAAATTTAATGTAAAAGTACTAATATACTCTTGTGAGAGTGGGACCTATTCATGTTATGGGAGCCTAGATAAGATAATCCAACATATCAAGTACGTCAATTGTGTTTTGGTGGTTGTGAGAAATCCTAATATGAAGGGTATATGAGTACTTTTACATCAAATTTAGGTTATAATTATTATAAAATTAAAATGACGGCTATGATTATATATGGTGTCTAAATTTGATTATTTTTTTAAATTTCCCAATTTTCAGCGACCCGGTTTTCTCTTTTGAAATTCAATTGTTTGTAAGTGAGACGGTGAGTTTCACTTCACTCCTACGTTTTAATCCTCTCACCTCTCCTATGTTTCAATTTTCTCTCTTTCTCATTCCTACGTATCACTAATCAACCCTTCCCAAAAACAAAAAATTAATTTAAAAAAAAATCATATAATAGCACTGTAAGGTGGAAAGGGATCCTGTCCGGATCCCTTCCTTCTAATCCATCAAATCCGTGGATTCATGCCATTGAAATTTGATCCAACGGTTACAAACAGGGACCCACTTTAAAAATTATAATAACTTCAACCGTTTGATCAAATTTCAATGGCACGGATCCACTAAATTTATGGATTAGGAGGAAGAGATTCAGAGAGGATCCCCTTCCCAGTAAGGAGTAAGACCCTCATAAAGTATATACCCATTTTTATTATGGGAAGTGTTATTAGCACTCCAAAAATCTCATTTTACACTCCTCACAAGTGTATTTTTCCTTCCTAATATAGAAAGTTTGGAGTGTAGAATGAGATTTTTTAAATGCTAATAACAATTCCCTTTATTACTATGGTTGTAGTTTAATTATTATGTATAGTGAATGAATTTGATGACCATGAATACTTTGTTATATTATGAATTTAAACTCTTGTTTTAAATCTATGAAATATTTGTTATAAATTATTGTATTTTTGTTGCCGTCCGCGTCTTTATTTTTTATCATTTACTATGTCACATCACCGTATCCGTATCCATGTCTGCAACGCATCTTTACTTTTTATCATTTACCGTGTCACGTCACCACATCCGTATCCATGTCTGCAACAAAATCGAGAACTCAGCCTGCCGTGGATAATTTACACACGTACAAACATTTAACACTTCGTTTTTATGTTTTCAATCATTTGGTCGGACGCATACAACTTTCTTAAGTTCATGTCACAACGTATTTTTCACAACCTGTCGATATTTCAAATTTCAATAGTGAAGAAACATTCTACCACATTAATATGAACAGTTCTTTAAAACCCTGTCGCTCCACCCAAATTCTATCCAGGCTCCCCTCACTAGCTCTCTGTCACAATTTAATCCTCACATCCTAAACCTAATACTCCATTGCAATCTTTAATTTTTTTTCTATCATGGCCGACCGAAATGGGGAGCCTAGCAGAGCTACACCCTGTCCTTATTTTGCGTAACCTTCGTGTCGTAAATTATCCCACATAATCACGTATCATTTGACCTCCAAGTTGCCGCCGAAGCTGATCCTCTTGTTGCTGCAGTTGTTGCTGCTGCTGGGCACTTTCCACCCCATGTCTAAGACCCAAAGTGAGGGACACAGCTCCAAGTCCCCCAGCCTCAAACCCTCCTCGCTGGTCCTGGACAAAACCCATCAATCCTCCGTCCATGCTTGATGAAACTTGGCAGTCCAATCTAGACCTCTTCATATCCTGATTTCGTTGCTCTGCATCTCCCAAGCACTTTAATTGTCTATCGGGCATCACATTCATGCTTAGTTGGTGATCATTGTTTGGCCTGCTGCTGGTGCCTTCATTTGCAGAATTTCCATCCTTATTGATAGGATCTTGGCCAGTTTCAAGGGAGCCTCCTCTGGTCTCGAGGATGTGTATTTCTTCAACCATGGGCTTCCAAACGCGCACTCGGGCGTTTATGAACCAGTTTGACACCTGAATTATGGTTCATAATTATGTCAATATCAGCACAACCCTTATGCAAATGACTTGAAATACAAGGAAGAAGTAAGCTCGCAACATGTCATCATGTACGATGACACAATTAACAGTACACGTGACCTACACGAGACTATCTACTAATTTGCTTTAATTTTCTTACAGGCTATCTATTTATTTAATTCAAATCTTGCTAATTGCTTATTCAATTTGATTATTCAAACAAAAAACCAACTTGATAAAGAACTGTAGACATGATCATTAGATATTGAGTAGGTTACCCTACCTGGTTTCGAGATAGACCCGTTTGAGTGGCTAACATGTGCTTATCTGTGTCCGTAGGATACCTAATAAAAAAAAAACAGTTATCACCCGAATACGAAAGAATGATTGAGAGAGAGAGAGAGAGCGAGAATGATTAAGAGAGAGAGAGAGATGGGTACGTACGGGTGAAGAAAATGCTCGAAGAGCCAAGTTCTGAGAATGGCTACAGAACGTTCAGGTAGGCCTCTCTGGGGTCTCCAGACGTGTTGTTGGGGTTCAGAGAAACCCACAAGGGACCCACCGCCAGACTTATTATGTTTTTGGAAACCTAGGCCCATATACTTTAGCTTGGCGAAATTTTTCTCACCTTTACTACAGCACCCAGCAGTACCAGCAGCAGTTACAGAGGATGACATATATTCCTCTCCCAATGCCTTCCTTGTGTGCTTGAGCTGGTCCTTGATGGAATTTGTAAGACACCTGAAGTGTCTTGAGACTGCGTTTAGGGCCATGCATATGTACGGCGTAGCGGAACTCAGACCGGCAACTGATTCGAAGGAAGCAACCACCATTTGCATTTGTTGATGATATTGCTTGCACCTTCTGCTAACCTTCAATTCCACAACAGAGATAACAAAAGGGAATCCAAATCAGTTGATAATGTCTTACAAGTCATTAACAGAGGAAATATATATCCACTAGAAGTTTAATTACTATTACAAATTTACATTTACCACTATACTAATCGCATTATTTACCCTATGTGTTGGGGTTCCACAAGTCATGGCTGACAATTTGATAATTCACAACTGTGTTAATAGTATTACTGATGGATGAACCATGATTCACAACGAAAAAGAAACATTCCAAATTCACCACGACAATAAAATTATGAATTTTCGGAATATATTGCACCCAATCCTTGGAATTTTCAGAGTATTGCACCAATCCTTGGCAAAGGTACGAAAAATAATAGTAATAGGATGACAGCTAACCAACTTGGAAAATTATGTCAGCAATCAGAAAGGATGTTTCTTTTAAGCAAATAATGTGGTCGTCGCCCATTCCAAGAAGACACCTTGGTTTTCAACTTTACTAGAAAGTGTCTGGACAACAAGAAGTGGTATCAACTGTTAACTGGAAATCTAGCTAATTTCCAAGGCCCTACACTTGCAGTGAAGATATTTGAGTGTGTTAACCCATTGATAATTATGATTTGAACATGGGGTTTTTTAACTTTAATCCTTGCAAAAGATTGAAAGTTAATAAAAATCTGGTGTTAGATTACATATTGATTATATTCCCTTGATGTGTCCTTAATTCAAATTAATTAATGAGTATTTTATTCAATGTCTCCCATTAAATATTTGAATTTATTAATATACACATTTTAATTTATTTTTTAACCAACAAATTTTTTTGTTAAATTTATTAATTTTATTTAAAATTCTTCATACTTGAAAGACTCAAATATTGTACCTAAATGTTAGTACCGAAATATATTATATTGAACTAGTATAACTAAATATTAGTACCGAAATGCATGCACTGATATGTATTATATTGAATTAATGTACCTAAATGTGTGTATCAAAATATATATATTAAAATATATCAAATGAATTAATCTACCTAAATGATGAAGACAAAGTATATTGGAATATATTGTATAACAAAAATTAGTTTATCTAATAAATGTTTACAACAAAATATATTACAATGAATGAAATGAAATTATAATTATAATGAAATATAATTATTACATTAAAATTAGGAAGAAAAAGAGAAATAATTCAAACATCAAAATATAATTAATAAATGAGGTGATTAATGTATCAATGGACTAAAATTAGATGATGATCTTACTCATGGTTTTAGTCTAAAAGTCATCTTTGACAACAAGGATTAGAATGAAGTTTCTTATTTGAAGATTCAAATTCAGTAAGTGATTATGTACAATCAATTTTTTTTTTTTTTTGCACATTCTTATTTATTTAGTATCTTTGGGTTGAATAAATTATATAAAAATGAAATGACGTAAATAAATAAGAGTGTGCAGTGGGAATAAAATGTTGTGTTGAAATCATTTCCCTTCAGGTATTTACATGTAACAAACCCTATTTAAGCATGTCAAATGAACATGACATATTTCCTCAGCTAAGATATCAAATATATGACTTCAACTTGCTGCTTTCAGAATGTCAACAAAGACTAGCTACAATTCAACAATTAAATCAAAACCTGACTAATTTCGACAATCAACGTTGTCAACCTCATTACTGAACATAGAGAAGCATTAATAGAGAGCAACACGGATACTTTGATAAGCACATCATAAATTGAAAATGTATATAACCAAAAGGAAACAACAAACTCAAGCAACATAAAATGGTCATACTGTTCATCAGTCCACAATCTCTTCCCTCGCAAGCCTTGAGTAGGGGAAGAGAAATGGTATCACAAAATCTACGGCTATTCTTGTATTGAAAATGGCGATAGAACTCAAGCCAGGTAGGAGATTTAAATCCAAGTATGTGTTATACTTCACCATGCATACAAGTTTGATCACCAGTTAACTCGTTAATATGACATTAATGTTCATCAATCACATTGGGTTACAATCCAACAGTTGATACTCAAATGCCGATAAAGTTATACTTCTATTGTTGGGAGAAATGTCATTTGGACCCTGATCTAACGGTTTGTGAGTAAGAACTGTCATGCTCATAGCCATCGGCATGTAAGAAAGATCGCACGACTGTGAGTGTGCGTCCGCACTGGCCATCTAAGGAACATAATTATCATTTTCTGATGACTAAACCCTACTGGGTCAAGACTCGCGTTGTTATTTATGGGGTTAATCAAGAGTCCAGGACCTGCATTTCTAAATATGTGGTATGATATTCTTCACCGCCCGAAGAGGGTGCCGAGAATAAGTTGCCTAATCCCATAATTATGGCACAAAGATGACATTGTCTTGATGAAATTTAACAGTCATCAGGGACTATTAAAAACTTGTAAGTGGTTTAATGGGGGGTCAAGATCCATCAAATCAATATGACTTTTGTAAAACTCTAATCAGTCGTAATCGTGGACCCATGATAGCCATTATTCATGCACCACGCAAACCATGCTAGATCTAGCTGCACTAGGCATGAAAGCTTGTTAATCAATGAAGTACTCTTAACCTCTAAAAAGTCAATTATCAAGGAAACAAAGTCTATAAAAATTGCTTTTTTATATATATAAACTATCTCATTTTAAAACGTCCAAGAGAAGGTTGCACATCATAACTTATATCATAAGACTTCCTTTCCCTATAAAACAACAATAGAAAATAAAAAATCTTATTCTTTAACGGAAATATTATTAGCACTCCAAATTATCGTTGTGCATTTCAAGTATGTACAAATATATGGAAAAAAAAACACTTGAAAAGAGTGCAAAATGACTATTAAAACCCTCATGCACATAATGGTTTAACTAAATCCATTTAAAAAATACATAGCATGCATGAGGTTCTTCCAATGCAATCATAACCAATTAAGTATTACCTCCTCATTTTACCGCATTGTTATCAAGATCCAATGTTGGATACTACTCTATCGCAAAGACATAAAAAAAAAAAATGAAAAATCGACATAGTAACTAATAATTAAAAAGGAGACATAAAACATCACTAACCTCCTCCTGCATATATAGGAGCTTTGCTTTCTTTTGTTGGTACTCCGGCCAAAAGGACTCAGAAGATATGCTTGCAGCTCCACCATCACTGCTAATTTCGGTTGAACCGTAAAACGTAGAGGAAGATGCACCGGAGTTGTTCCTCTTAGCCACTACTTCAGTTTCGGTTGCATTACCAGCTTCAATGGAAATTGAAACTGAGGCTGAAGCACTCACATCTCCAGACATCCTCTCAGATGCCTCACATGTTTTCAGTATCTTTGAATCACTAACCCTACAGAATTCATCCAGTAGCTGTTGAGCCGGTTTCAAGAACTTCGAACTCTTCAGAATCGTTGCATATCCAGTGAAAGGACCCAGAGGACCAGTGCTTCGATAGGCGCTAGTACTAGAATTCCCCACAATGTCTTGATGTGATTTTCCACAAGCTTTGCTAATAATAGATGGCTTTGTTATGGAACACAAGTATCCGCCAGAAGATTTCCCCATTTTCGAATTTTGAAGATCCTTAAGTGCATGATGATGATCATCATCATCATCAGTGCTCGCATGTAAATCTTGAGACCCAATTAATTGAGCCACAGGCAGTTTATTAGATGGTGGATTTGATGAGAGTGATAGAGACAGCCCTTGTTGGTTGGAATCGCTACTCATACCGGTCCTCATTTCTTCATCAACACTGTTTGCAGTACTAAATTCTAGTCCCCCGCCACCACCACTACTCCAATTATGGCGATTCTCGATAGGCTGCCGATCCATCCAAGAATTACTGGCATTATTGAAGCGCAATGTGTTTGATTGATTCCCGTAGCTTGGAACGCGAACAAATTCATTTTCCATGATTCTTTGGTGCACAATTGAAGCCATTTCTAGCTGATCCTGCTGTGTCCCTTGAGAAGCTGAAGTGACAACATCTTGGAGAGTGTTAACGTATTTTAGCGAAGGGGACGAAAAGTGCATTGCTCCTCCTCCGAAGTGCTTTTGGGCAACATGATGACTAGAAATTTGATCAGCAGATGAGTTGGCCAAACTAGACTGAACTACATCCTGATATCCACTTGTGTAATTATTCACCCAATCTAAGCTTTGAGGTGGATTAAGAGTACTTCTCCAGTTACCAAAATTCTGACTCTCACCGGCGGGTTGAGCTGCACCTAGATCTTGATCATGACATGCCATTGTGATTCTGTGAGCTGACAACGGAGCATTTGCATTGATTGAAAAATCGAGCATTTCAGAAGAAAACATAGTTGGATCATAGAGCAAATTCGCATTCCTCACATTTCGAACTTGCACGATATGTGGGTTTAGTCCTGGATGGAGTGGCAATTTCCCAGAATTGTTTGCTAAATTGTCGAGATGGTGAGGTGGGCTTGAAGTTTGATGAACTCTCAACTTATCCCGCCGACTTTGTTGTGCTACATGTGATTCATGCCTAAAGCCACTCATCTCCATCCACTAAAGTTCACCAAGATCACTACTTTTTTCCCCTTAATTATTAAAAAGAATTCCAACTCGAAAAATTGCTCCAATATATTGGCTTCCTCAAAAAAAATGCAAGCACACATGCATGTCTTCTAGCCACATCAATCAAGCTGAAAACAACATTTCCAAGCAATGTCATAAATCCAAGAAAATTATGCATGACTTCCCGAAGAAAATAGTAAATAAAAAAGAGAAAACAATAAAAGATAGATAAAAGTTTACCTTGAGTACTTGTCAGGAACTCGCTTTGAACTTGTGGAGACTTTCCCACAAACAGTTGTTTGGCTGTTGAGCTTTGAACGCTGTCGGCAGCCAGACCTTGAAGCACAAACCTGCATACAATTAACCACCACTCATTCAAAAGTCGAGAAAGATGGAGATAAAAGCCTGCAATTCAAAAACACACGTAAAATAAAATTTTACTCAACAAATCAACAATACAACGTCTCCTCTTATGAAACCCTAATTCCATAACTCTTTAAGAAAACTAACTTTTACCATTTCATCACTTCAACAAAAAGAAAAACATAACTTAGATCCAGCAATCCTAATGGAGTTTTTAGAGCCAACCCAACTCACAAACTTATCCATTTAAGTGTTGAGTGCGCTATAATTGACACAAAAACAGTTGCTTCCTTAATTGTATATTACTAATTAATCATATGATGGTAATTATTCACTTGATACAGACAAGTGCAAATAATTCATGAGTGAAAAACAAAGAAAGAGAATAAAAGCTATAAGATTTTCTTCATGACAGTACTAGATGAAAGAAGAAGAACTGCACTAAGCAAATTTAACACTTTTTATAAACAGAAAAGAAAAGGTCGAACCAAAGTTCGTTAATTAATTAAACGAGCTATAATACCTGTGGAAATTTTTGCTCCTCAGATCTTTTCAGACCAACCCAGTAGAACTCGGATCCGGTTCTTTTCTCCGGTGGAGTTTTGAAGTTTATGGAGGTGAGAGCACAATTATTGTGGAGGCAAAAAGAGTTGGCGTTATAAAGCTTTAGACGTTTTGAGCACGCTCTTGTTTGTACACAGAGAGAGAGAGAGAGAGAGAGAGAGAGGCAGTACTACTTAGGTAATTGTACTAATTCTAAGCGGAAGCAGCCGTTGGATTTAGCGGCGAAAGGATCGGACGGCGAGAGAATTTGTGTCCGTGAATGGTTTCACCAATATTGTGTTTGGGAAGGAAGGGTCCCATGAACCGAAATTTCACCCTCCTTTTCTAGTGGAGTTGGATAGATTGGAAAAAAAAAAAAAAAAAAAAAGAAAGGCAACACGTGGTGGTCCTAGGAAACACTCTATATTACAGAAATACCATTTAAAATGTGTTTGTAAGTCTTTTCAGTCTCTAAAATGATAAATTGTTGTGGTAAAATCATTAACTGTTATTTTTTTTTTTAAAATTTTACCTAGTTATAGATTTTGCTTAAACAGTTCTTGGCTGTAGTGCTAACCTATGTATTATCGTGTACCAATAAAAAAAAACTTGTGTACTATCTACTTTTAGCAATTTCTATTTGCTCACTATTTATGATCGTATTGTCAAATCATAGATTTAATGTTGTCATGAAACTTGTAAAATGTAAACTGTTTGTGAACAGATTTTCTAGTGTATATAATAGGTTGCTTTTGTTAAACTTTCAAGATAAAATATAAACGTAACAAATAAGGCAAAGAAACAGAGGCTTGCAAAAGCAGCACAACCAAATTATTCGTATTTCGGTCACTGCGTGCGCCCGGCCGCCGGGGAGGGGGGGGCTCACTGTAGATGTTGTAGATGATACGATTATATTACCAAGACATATCATCTTGATCAAAGTAATTAAATTATCCTTGATAGAAAATTCGGAATATGGTTTTTATGGTAAAAAAAAAAAAATAAGTATTAAACTTTTGTTGTGAAAATTGTTACAAATTTAAAGTTAAAATTTCCATCGAATTGCCGTCAAAAGGCTGCAAGTGAGTCTCTTGTAAAATGGTAAAATAGTCAATGTATGTTAACTCATTTCCCCTCTTTCACATAGGTGCACACACAACTCTCTTTTGCCTCTATCAATCGCTAAGCCACATCTCATCTCTCACTCACTTGCAAGCCTGTAGAATGATTTTGGCTGCAAAACTTTGTCTTTCTCTACTTTGTTTTCTTCATGTTTATGTTTCTTTGAACTTCTTTTCGGGTAGGAGAAATCTAAGTTCAAACCCTAAACATAATTTGTATTAACAGCAAGCTCAGTATCTCAAAAGTAAAAAGAAAGCAAAGAAAATCTTCACATAAAATTGTAGAGAGAAAGAAGAATGAGCTGCTATGAGTGTATTGATTGAGAATTACATAGAGATTGCTATATATACTGCAACCTTCGCTTCATAGCTAAGTAATAGAAAACTAACTAACTTTTCTTATCATTTTAGTTGTCTAACCACAATCCTAACAACCTTGGCTAATGTGTATGCCATCTGTCAAAACCCTATCTTGTTGATGTGTACATACATCTGTCAACATCCCCCCTCAATCTCAGCTGGGTTTCCAAGCTTGAGATTGAATGAATGCTTGAGGAATGAAGGACTGTGTAGACCTTTAGTTAGTATGTATGCAGTTTGATCTTCAGTAGGTAGATATTGAACTTGTAAATCCCCCTTTTGAACTTCTCTCCTATACGAAATGATAATATGTGTCTAAATGTTTGATCCTCGAGTGAAAAACTGGATTGGCATTTAATGCAATTGCAAACTTATTGTCACAGTATATCACCGGAGGAAAAGTTAAGACAACAGCCATATCTCGAAGAACATTTCTAATCCACGCAACTTCAGTTGCAGTATGTGCTAATGCTTCTGTAGAATTCCTTGATACAAAATCTTGCTTCTTTGACTGCCATGAAACTAGATTATTACAAATGTATACAATATAGCCTGTCATAGATTGCCTTGTGTTCAAATCTACAGCCCAATCAGAATCACTAAAGGTTGTGATCTCTACTGCAGTGTCGGCTGAAAATGTGATACCAGTTTGTATAGTTCCTTTTAAGAATCGCAAGATCCTTTTTACTGCCCGAAAATGTATCTCTGTGGGACAAGCCATGAACTGACACACAGAATTCATGACATATGCAATATCTGTTCTAGTAAAGGTCAAATACTGCAATGAGCCAACAATACTATGATACAAACTTGGATCGAGCAATATGGTACCTTCAGTGACTAGCAATTGATCATGAGACTTGCACGGTGTACATGCTGGTTTGCAGGACTTAATACCAGCTTTATGCAATAAGTCTTTTATATACTTAGATTGGTTGACATATATATCACCATTCTTCTTGTAGTTAACTTGCAAACCAAGAAAATAAGTCAACTTTCCCATATCTTTAAGCTCAAACACCTCAGATAACTCTGTGATTACACTTTGTACCTTGCACGCGTTTGATCCAGTTAAGATAATGTCATCTACATACAAAAGTAGAATGACTACATCACCATTATCTTGCTTAACAAATAAACTAGAATCTAAAGCAGATGCTTTGAAACCCATTGCAGGTAAGTAACTTGTGAACTTGGAGTTTTAGGCCCTCGGGGCTTGTTTAAGACCATACAATGACTTGATTAACTTGCAAACATACGAAGGATTAGCCATATCCACAAATCACTGAGGTTGTTTCATGTAAATTTCTTCTTGAAGATCACCATGCAGATATGCATTCTTAATATCTAACTACCTTAACTCTCATTGATTAATTGCAGCCAATGCTAATAATATTCTCATTGTAGTATGTCTAACTACAAGACTAAATGTTTCTAAGTAATCAACTCCTTGTTTCTGTGACAAACCTTGTGCAACCAATCGAGCTTTATACCGAGAGATTGAGCCATCAAGATTCTTTTTGAGTTTGTAAACCCATTTGCTGCCAATAATTGACCTGTCATCAGGTGGTGGAACAAGTTCCCAAGTTCCTTGAGCTCTAAGATAATTATATTCTTCTTGCATTGCATTCTTCCATTGTGGCATGGATGCAGCTTTTCGAAAAGTTGTTGGTTCTGCAGAATCAACAGAACTACCTACAAATGAAAAACCTCCACCAAAAAACTCATCTTGAGTTAATTGCAAAGATTACAGCTCAGGTAAGGCAACAAGATATCCCTTATAACTCATTTGTGGTAACACACCACTCTTCAATCTAGTAATCATTGGATGGCTTGAAGCAGCTTTGGAATTACCCACATCGGATAAAATGGAAGTTGAAATAGGAAGTATTACCTCAAGTTGAGTGTCATGATGGACATGCAACATTTGTGACATACCAGAAGGAATGGAAGTGAGGGGAGAAAGCTCCAGTTGTGAAGGATTACCCTGTGACAGTGAACTAGACCTGAAACTTGTCTCTGGAGAAGAATTTGATGTCTGTGAGTATAAGCCATGTGAAACTGCTACCTATTGTAATGAAGTATCCTATGTAGGAGAACTAGTAGCATGACTACTTCTAGATATTGAAACAGACATATTGTCTTGATAGCCACTATTATCTTCCTTTTAATTTATGTGAGGCATACTAGGAACACTAGGTATAGGCATTTAGACCACAATGGGTCTTTGAACCATAGATTGAGCCTGATATGATCTATCTGCACTTGCAGTTGAATGTACCTTATAGGGAAACATCAATTCATCATGTAGTACATGTATAGACACCAACAGTTTTCTGGTTGTCATGTTGTAACAAATTACTCCCTTATATCACATAGCATAACCCAAGAAAAGACATTGCACTGACCTTGCTTCCAGTTTGTTTGAATTATATGGCCTAAGGAAAGGATAAATAGTTGTGCCAAACACTTTTAGATGTTGTATTTTTGGTACTTTACCAAATAAGACTTTATATGGGGATTTCATCTCTAACACCCTGCAAGGCATTCTATTTATCATAAATGCTGCATAAGCACATGTATGAAACCATAATGTTGGAGGTAAATTTGCCTCAGCCATTAAAGTCAATGCTGTCTCCACTAGGTGCCTATGATTCCTCTTAGAAATATCATTATGTTGAGGAGTATAAGGACATGAAATCATATGATTTATGCCCTTTGATTCTAGAAATTTAGTAAACCCTTTGCTCACACATTCTCCTCCTTCATCAGTTTGTAAGCACTTAATTGAAGTATTAAACTGATTAGACACAAAAGCATGAAATTTCACAAACACAGACATTGCTTCATACTTATTAATCAAAGGAAAGATCCACACAAATCTGGAATACTCATAAATGAAACTGATATAATGTATGTATCTTTTTATTGAAATTTTTGGAAAAGGCCCCCATACATCTGAATGCACTTTTTCAAACATACAACTAACTCTACTTTGCCTTATAGGAAATAACTGTCTACACATTTTATTTGTAATACATGAAGAACACACTAACTGAGATACATCTATACTAACTAGTACTTTTGCATATCCCAACATAATTGCCAATATCTCTTCAGAAGGGTGCCCTAACCTCTTATGCCACATTGCAGTTTTAACAACCTTCCAAAGAAATCCAACATTAAAGTCTTTATGCACTTCATTGACTGAACTTGATCTTGTAAACGTTGTCACTGGTATGGTGAAGAGTTCCCCATCACTCCTTCCTTGGTATAGTATCACTTTGGTTGTCTTGTCCTGTATATAAAACATAAGATCATCACATATAAATCAGCAGCCATTGTCATGACATAAATTTTTCACTGATAATAAGTTCACAATAATATTTGGAACATGAAAGACATTTTTCAAATATAGAAAATGAGCTGGAGTGATTAGAGTAGTTGAACAAATATGTTTCACATCCAAACCTTGACCATTGCCAATGATTACCTTTTCATCTCTATTGTAAGCTATGACTTGATTCAAATTGTTGACATTTGCTATCATATGGTGTGTAGCTCCAGTTTCTAACACCCATGTATCTACAGCAGAAAAGCCTTATGAAAGGTGATTATTCCTTGTTGGAGAGAAGCTTTGGGTTCCCTGAGCAGTCATGGCAGTGATTGTTGGTGGTGGGGGTGGTGCTCCTTGATAGGCATAGTTATTCTTGTGATAGCAATCCAGGGCAACATGGCATTTCTTACCACATATCTGACACACTAATATCTAGTATGGATTAGGATTGGAACCATTGATACTCTGAAAATGA